TTCTACATCAAGTTGAGTCATTGTTGGTGTCTCTTAAATTCATCATTCTTCATCAACTTCCAAGCCTCCCAAGAGGATCCAAAGAACTACAAAGGTTGTAATTTCTCCATCTCTTCTTTGGTTGGTGTGTTTAATATTTCTATAACTTGCAAAATGATCCTTGGTGGGTTTAAATTGTTTATGTCATTCAAAATTTATAAGTCTTCAGTTGCCTAAATTTCATGTTTTTGAAACTAGTTTTGGAATAAAAACCCAACAGTTTGATCTTCAAGTTAAAGATGGATCGCGTTAGTGATGCTACAATGTTTAATTTTTCAAATTGGTTCTACTTAATGGTGATGATGTTTTATTTCAAATTCACATCGTTGTGTAAGAATGTTGGCATAACTTTCTTCATGGACGCATTTGTAGGTATGAACGAGTTCTTCTAGTTTGTTGTCAATTGATTGTCATAGTTTGGTAATCGCATTCTTTTCAAAAAAAAAGTTATGATTATTCGTTTTTTACAGAGTTATGAGAGCAGTTAATGCCTAGATTTTGTAGCCTCCATTTGTGGTCACTAAAACTTATTGTCTTAATATTCGGTTTTTTACAAAATCCACAACTCGAAACAACACTTCTTTCTATATAATCTTTCACTTCATCCAATAATTTTGGGGCGTCCAGAATGCATTAAATTCTTTAGAATTCAATGGATAGACACACGAAAATTGTTCTATAATACATTGAATTATTTAGAGTTAAATTGATAGAAACCCATATTATGGCACTACATGTGTAGCGCTAATTTTATTTTATTGTTTTGCTCAAGTTTGTCTGATGTGTAATTGATAGTCTATAAAATGTAATTAAAAGCCATTTTTGGACAATGGCGCCAAAAACATGATGTGTTATAGATATACACTTGAAAATATAAATCTAGTTTTACATTTATAATTCCTAACAAACAAAATTGACTATCTATACTAGACAGTATATATGATTAATAATAATATAGCTTAAATAAGTAAGGATGTCGAACATATGGGGAACAGAAGTATACTAATTAAATAGATAACATAATCTGAAGGTAATAATATTTTCCAATATTAAAAGAAAGGAATTAAAGGGGAATAAATGTCATTCAAATAAACCAACAAACAAATCTTAAATAATATTTGTATTCAATCCATCTTAGTTCAGTTAATTAACATCCTTTAAATGATATTGGTAAGTTATCCACCAATTCCTAAATAGATTAAATCCATCCTAATTTCATTAAACCTTTGATTCTAAGTTGTCTATCCACAAGGATAGCTCCCCTAGACTCAGTATATTCATTAGTATTATGCAATGACTCAATTGATATGATTAGTCATAGGGTTAGTGGCAACCTCACAAATTGTATAAGTTATTGGAACAATCACAACTATTAATCTCAACTCTATTATGTTTAACCTAGGGTATCACTCCACTAGTCATAAATGCCTATGCTCTTGACTAAGTTTTCCAGTTTTAACAATTTAATAAACAATGTGGATCAAGATATATAATTTGAACCTAATCATAAATCATGCACTCTGTTACATAAACATCACAAAGTTATTATCAATGCTCATGAATCTTTAGTTAAACATTAACATAATAAATTTAATAACTCTCAATACCAAATATCAATCAATCAAACAAACTAGAGTTTCACAAATAACAAATAATAATAAAGGGTTTAATCCAAATCTCAACAAAAACATATAGGAAATAGAATAGTTCACTAATTGTAGATAGAAAAAGTAAACAGATTGATAACCTAATGATTCACTACTAGAAAAACAGCCTTTTACGACGCGCAATGCGTGTTATAAAACGCTCAGACGACGCGAAAATGTGTGTCAAGGAAGGCCCTGTCATAACGAGAGACGGCACGCTTTTGCGCGTCGTCTATTTACGACGCGCATTTACGACGCGCATTTACGGCACGCATTTACGACGCTCATTTATGACACGCAATGCGTATCAAGGAAGACCCTGCCATAAAGGAAGACGACACGCATTTGCGTGTCATAATCTTACGACGCGCCTTTAGGACACGCATTACGTATCATTAAAGCCCCTGTCATAAATGAAGATGACACGCATTTGCGTGTCATAAACTTCAGCAACCATTTACGATATGCATTTACGACGTGCCTTTACGATACTCATTTACGCATAACACAAAAATATGGAAACAAATATATACCATAACAATCAATTTCATCCAATAACATCATGTCAAAAATTGTAATACATTGATATTAAGGGGATCTGATTGTCCATTGTTATTGAGAGGTTTTCCCTAACTATATAACCTAATACTACATTGTTATTAATGGACACCTTCTTGTTTCAGATATAATGTCAAAAAAATCCTCCATGTCAAAAAATTGGCTGCGGTCCATCGGGCGTGGATGGAAAGTAATGACTTGAACATTAGCTGAAACAAAAAAGATTTTATTAATCACACAATCAACAACCAAAGTGTGACCCATCAAATATAAAACCCAAGACCTTACCGGAACAAGATCTGTTCTATTATGCCCGTACCTCTGTATTCTTGATTACAAAAACTATAAAGCCCCAAGTATAAAGGATGGACATCCACCCTTGATGATGTTCAAGTATCAGCTTGAAAGAAAAACCAAACTTTGGTAAAGGTGCTCATATCAACTTTTGTAAAGGTGCTCATAGGAAGAAATTATTCTTCATTAAAAAAAAGTAAAAATATAGGAAAGTAAATTAGTTAATTTATATTCAGCTATCTTAAATATATCATATATAATCAGGGGTAGATAGAGAGATACCATGTCGAATGCAACGATAATTACAGACCGTAAGCCCTCCAAATCATATTTGTGGCAGTGCTACCTCTTAAAACACGTTCCTTGTGGTAAGGGTATACAAACATTCGGGATTGCGTCTTCCTAATCCAAAAGTTTCAAGTTGTACTGCATAACACAGAAGGTTGAACTAAATTCTCCCATTTCATCCAACAATTTCAAGTTTTCCTACATGAATGAAAATACAGTGCCCTTTAAGTCAAAAAGAAACAACAGTTTTGTCATGATGTGATTAAGTAAAATAAGGAAATCATTATCATGAACTTAATTTGGACATAACATGAAATTTGAGTTTCTTACTTCTTGATAAAATCCAACTAAGCCACCATAGTACACCAATATCATCTGATCTAGTTTGACCTTTCATATATATATATATATATATATATATATATATATATATATATATATATATATATATATATATATATGTGTGTTTGTGTGTGTGTGAAACAATTGGCATTTACTTATACAAAATAATGGTGAAACAACAATTACATGTAACATAGAGATTAGCAACTATTAAAAAATTTAACCATTTAAAAGTATTAACTGGGGTAAATGGGTTAAACTTACAATATGGAATGTCTATGTGGCACACAAAATCTGGCTTGTGCAGAAGAGTGATACACATCATCTGGACCTGCAAGATTAAGATTGAGCATTAACTGCAGTTTAATACATTTGCAGCATAAAGAAAGACAATTTGTGTCAAGGTTTTATATTTAGTTTTAGTGAGTAAGTACAAAAAAAAAACAGCTACACTCATGGACCAGAAATGTAATATTACTCTAAAAATATTGATATATCATTCATATAGTGTTACATAATCAGTGATATTGATTTTGTAACATTTGTGTCTGAAGAGGGTAATAACGTAATTTCAACCAATTCGGCATATTTTATCAAACTTTGATAATTACTTCATTTTGAACTAACTTACTTTCTGTCCTATATGAAAATGGACACGACCGCGAATACGACTCTGTGTTGTATTCATGAATGGCATGTTTTATCTGATACAAAAAGGCACAACTTTTCAGAAGAATATAGATTACAAAAACTTAGAGAGCAGAGTAAAATATACATTTGGTCCCTGATTGAATATCTAATTAAAAAAGATAGATAAATCATTTATATATTGTTATTTAATTATTGTTACATAATCATTGATATTCAATAATGAAAATTATCTATTAAATACTAATAGTAAAACAAAATTGTCTATTAAAGTATTATATGATCGTAACAAAAACTGCCACCAAAAGAAAGAGATCAAATCCAAACTTTTTTAAGATAATTGGTTTGGTTGAAAGAAAAGGTAACAATAAGGATGCTTGTTCAAGCATATCACAGCTGAATGAAGAGGTTCCTGCAAAAAAAAAATTTAAGTTTTTTAACAATATCGTCATATATAATATTTTTAATCACATAAGAAAGTTGATTATTACCTCATCAGAGATACGAGAGTAAACACCATCACCCTCTTTATATTGAGTATTGACCACTTGTTTTTAACATTTCAACCCGCAAAAACCACACCATGTGGCCTTTCCCCTTCCTTGATGTCCTAATTCGCTAAATAAAAGCACAATTTTTAAATAAATAAAAGAATCAATCAAATAACAAGAGTCTTGTAACGAATTACCAGGCATACTCTTTTACATACTCCCGGGACACTATAGAATATAGTAGGTCTCAATTATGCCATGTCATCCAACATTTTCAAGTTATCCTACACGAATGAAAATACTATGAAAAATATGTCCGGATTGCTCCACCCAATTTTAGCCACCCAATGTGGTAAGGGTATACAAACATCATCACCAACATTGCCTCCACATTCATGGAAAGACATTACTACCTGAGCCAAACTTACATTATGGTCACTTGTTTTATTTTCAAAATAAATGAAAAAATGCAACAAATAGCAGCAACAGGTGACAAAATGTCTCCAAGAGGACAAACCTGTAACTTGAGCTTAAGCACACGCACCATTTAAAATAGCTGTTTATATCCCTTCCAGTTATACTCCTGTGGGACATGTGCTTCAACTATACCTCACTAGCAATCAACCATTACACCATCAACATTAAAATCAGAACAAGATCAAAATTAATATCTAATTGTTTTTAGCTGAAAGTTTCAGTGGTTGTGGATAATGATATTTGACCTGAAAAGGGCTTTTTCAGCACCAAGGATTTGAAGGGTAAAAGAAGAGCATTTTGAAAGATTTGTGAGGCTTCCAGCATGAGATATCAAACGAGCTCCAACAACTTCACCAAATAATGCAGCCAAATTTGGTGCTATGTCACTCATTTTGGCAACAAGATAGTCATAAAGCTTGTTTCTGTATTCAGCAAGGTACATCACACGTTGTGCAAACATCTGCACATTAATCAAGTCAACTGGTGAAAAATATTGACCTGAAAAATAAAATAGAGTAAAATACTCTTTTTATTATTATAAGTTTATAACAACATAAATATATATCCAAGATTAATACTCTTTTTATTATGTTATGGGCCCACATGACATATAATATAAACATGTGAACTGACTTTGTTTGTTGTGGTGGAGGATAGTTGGGATACCCAATCTGATTTGTTCACCTTCTTGTGTTTTTCTTGCTTTATTGAAACATGAGACTATAAATTTAGAGTATATATTTGACCACTTTATTGTCAATTTGTTCATGATATTCAGATTTGCACGATGAATACTGGACATTATGGTTGATTACAGGTAGTATAAAGCATAACCTCTCACAGTTGTACAACATTGTGTAAATATGATAAAATGAAAAGAAACATCAAGGGCAAAAAGGTAATTAAATAGATAAATGAGTTAACATTGAGTTCTTTTCATTTTTAATTCAAGTATTATCATGATATGATAAGGGGAAGAAAGAGATAAATGAGTTACCTTATTTTCCTTATAACAGAAAGCACTATATTAAAGCTTGCAGTGTCAAAACCTATAAAACCATAATATAAATAAATCAATTTTCATATAACAAGAATTAGCAATTTATTTTTTGTTTTAAGATTGAAACCTGAACAGGTAACTGAACAACTCGTTCATCTTAACCTAGTTTTGGCCTTGACATTTGAGATGCAATTGAGATTAAAAGATCCCTTGACATACGTGGACGCCAACAGAGATCAAACAAATTGAAATACCCAAAACTATAACAGAAAAGGGTACAAAAGAACTGACCTAACATGGGTCTGAATGTTCATCTGCTGCTCTCCTTATACCCACCTGATGCACCAGGTCTTCTCCATCTCCCATGGCTTTGCCCAAAAGCTTTACTGCAACTAGTTGCCCATCAGGTAATTATCCTTTGTAGACAGTTCCATAGCCTCTTTCTCCCAGTTTCTCAATGAATGAGTTTTTCATTTTCTTGATTTCTGAATATCTATATCTATTTGGAGTTATAGCTCTGTAGTCCCTTATGAATATTTCTATTTGCTGATTTCTAGAGGTTCCCTGTTGTCCAAATTACCAGATGCTACATTAGGTTAGGAATCATGAAATCTAAGACATTACTGTGGTATGTGGAGATTCTTACCAATAATTGAGGTTTTCTATGTAGTCTGATGAGAGCTCGATTTTTCCAATATTACAAATCCATTGTCACTTGTGGATACTACCATTAATGGGCTCCTTCACTCTCATTCCACTCAACTAAATGGGCTTCACCTTCTTTACTTGTTCCACAAGACCAGGGGCATCATAATCTACCCTTGACCCCAAACAATCATACAACCATGCTTTGATTTTCCCATCAATTGCTGTTGAGAATATAAACTATACAAAATAGGGCAAAATCAATGTTTTTTTATGCTATGTAGTTTTTGTTAAATCTCAGAAAAAAAGGATAAAGAAACAAAAGGAAACTAGCATGTATTTGTTCTTTAGAGTGAGGACATACAGAACAAAAAATCACCTGTAAGAACATCTCTGAACATACAGAACAAAAAATCACCTGTAAGTATTCCTGCATTATTGTCTTTGCTCTATCTGACATGGAATGTTGTCTTCCGAGAGTTGGGCGTATCATTGGCAGGGCTGCACTTGATGGAACATCTCTGAACAAAAAATCACCTGTAAGAACTATGATCATTATAGCCATGAACAAATATCCCCACTCATCCTTCCAGTATTAGGTACTTAGTAATCACCTTTAAGGGAGAGTGGCACATGGCGTAAATAGCATGAAGTAAACGTTCTTGCACCAAAGGGCGAGTACATGGAATAAAAGCAAAAAGGCTATCGATATCTTCATCAGATTGGAATAATGAAACAGGGGTATTTTCGGAATTCTGTGACATGGTTGATGTGGAAAGATGCATGATGATTGATGCTACCTCATCTTGTAAAGAATGGGATGATGTGTTATTGTAGAGAATATTGACCAATGGAGTTACAGAACCTTGTGTGATCATTTGGGCTCGAAACGTAAAGCTTACATGGAAACCAAATCTTGGTGAAGACCAAAATATGCAAAGAAATAGTGTGTTCGTCGTCCCCTTACGTGTTTTTGAACCAGGTGAGAGGGATGAGATGGAAATACGAGAGTGAGATAGAAAAAATTAGGGTCGGATTTAGGAACCCTAAATCATCGGCTCAAATTGATAACTGGGAGGTAAGAACCCTAAATCCTCAGCTCATTAGGGTCGAATTAAGAGTGTAAGAACTTGTTGGAACCGAGAATTAGGTTTTTGGTGGAGGTGATGGATCGAGGAATTGAGGAAGCTGTGGATGAAGACGAAGGCCCTAATTCGAATAGGCGGGGAATTTTTGGGATGAATAGACGGGGGTTAATTTTTTGGATTTCATTTTTCCCCCTAAAAACGCGTGTTTCCTTAAAAAAAGTATAAAGCGACACAGTTACATGACACAACTTTTTTGATAGGTGCCCTCCGTATTTTTTTTCTGACACTAATTTTAGGGCACGCAAAAAATGTTTGTCCTCTATCCTTCTAATTTTGGAAAACTGACATTAATTTTTAGGGCACGCACAAATGCGCGTCCTCTATCAGTGTGTGTCATTAATCGCGCGTCGTAAAAGGCTATTTTTCTAGTAGTGATTTCTTCTATTGATCTTCATATTTCAGCATCTATCTCAGCCTGTCGGCAGTTATAGCCTTCTAGACTCTCAAAATAACCTCCTTGGACATTTTCTGTCCCTCTAGGGTTTTTAGAAATTTCCCTATTGGTTAATTACATATTTTGGACGAAATTTGGGATTCTATATATGGCTTTCTGTGACCGACGTATTTTGCGACACGACAAACATTTCTTAGCGATATTTAAATCTGTAAAATATCTTTAGAATCTTCAGCTTTGTTGGTCTGGCTTCAAGGCCAATTTTGGACAAGACAGGAGCCGAATTAGCAAAAAGGCCCTCACACGTAAGTTGTAGGAAATAAATAATCAAATAAACAAGCAAAACAACCATATCTAACTCCATAAATAATATAATCTGAAGGTAATTAATCATATTTGTATTCAATCCATCATAGTTAAATTAATTAACATCCTTAAATGATATTGGTAAGTTATCCACCGATTCCTAAATTGATTAGCTCCATGCTAATTTCATTAATCTTATGATTAGAAGTTGTCTACCAACAATGATAGCTCCCCTAGACTCAACTTATTCATTCATATTATGCAATGAATCAATTGATATGATCAGCCCAAGAGTTAGTGGCAACCTCTCAAATTGTCCAAGTTATTAAAACAATCACAAATATTAATCTCAATTCCATTATGTTTAACCTAGGGTATCACTCCACTACTCACAAATGCCTATGCTCTTGAATCATTTTTCCATCTTGGACAAGTTTATGAATAATATGATTCAAGATACATAATCTGAACCTATTCATAAAATCATGCACTCAGTTACATAAACATAATAAAATCATTATCAATACTCATGGATCTTTAGTTAAACATTAACACAATAAATTTAATAGCTCTCAATACCAAATATCAATCAATTAAACAAACTAGGGTTTCATAAATAAAAATAATCATAAAGGTTGTAATCCCAAATCTCAACAAGAACATATAAGAAATCAAATAATTGACTAATTATAGACAGAAAAGTACACAACTCGATAAACTAATGATTTCTTCTCTTGATCTTTATATTTCAGCATCTCTATCAGTCTATGACCGTTATAGCCTTCTAGACTCTCAAAACGGCCTCCTTGGATGTTTTCTGCCCCTCTTGGGTTTCTGTAAATTTCCCTATTGACTAATTACATATGTTGGACAAATTTGGGGTTCTATATATAACTTTCTGTGACTGGTGTATTTCACGGCGTGACAAACATTTCTCGGCGACATTTCAATTTGGAAAATACCTTCAGAATTTTTATCTTTATTGGTCTAACTTCAAGGCCGATATTGAACAAGATAGAAGCCAAATTAGTAAAAAGGCCCTCATACATAAGTTGTAGGGAATAAATAATCAAATAAACAAGCAAAACAACAATGGCTAAATCCATAGATAACATAATATGAAGGTAATCATATTTGTATTTAATCTATAATAGTTCAATTAATTAACATCCATTAAATGATATTCGTAAGTTATCCACTTATTCCTAAATTGATTAACTACATGTTAATTTCACTAATCTTATGATTCTAAGTTGTCTACCAAAACTAAACTTTCTAAATTCACCAAATGATGTATGGACAACACATTTGGGTTGGTCTGAGAAAAGAAGCATAGGTAATCCTAGTGTTTGTGTTGAGAAAGTTGAATGTTCAAACTTATCATTTGACTTTAATATCCTTTATTATATCCTTTTTTAATTTAGTTTATATTTTTTATTTTAGTTTTTGTTTAAGGGTTGTAATGTAATTTATTAGTAGTTGGTTTATTAAGATATTTGCAGGGAGGACTGATCTTGTTATATTGTATTAAGTTGTGGACTGCACCTCATGTTATTGAAGGTTACAAAGAGGCGCGGATCTTTTTGGTTCAGATTATATGTGGATCTGATATCTAGTTGCCCTGGTTCATGCCCGGAGTATATAATCTTTTCTCTATGTGTAATTTTGGGATACTTGAGTTAGTTGTTCACTTCTTCTGTGTGTTGAGTCCTCGTTCTCTCTAATATACGACTAGGGTTTTCTCTCTATTAATAGGGTTATTTTGTAATCGTTGCAGTTGAGTTCTCTTCCGATTCTTGTTCTAGACTAGGTATGAGTAGTTGAGCTGAGAGTTGTAGTGAGGATCTGTGTATTTGAGTGATTGAGAGATTTGTAGTGAGGTTTTTTATGTAAGTTTTGAAAAACCACCTAGTTCTTGGTTAATACGAGTTGATGTTGTGATATTCTTTGTATCTGTTAATTTTTTATTTGTTTAGATGGTGTCAGATCCTTGTTGGCTTTTTTGTTCTTTGATCCGAGTGTTGTCTCAATCCGTTACTGTTTCAGGGTCATGTTGTTTACATTCCTTGGGTTTCCTATAGGTTGTGTTGTTGTCCGATCTGGTTTGTTCTTTGTAGATCATTCTCAATCTGTTGTCATATTTTTGAGGATCTACTTGTGTTCTTCTGTAATATGGTTTCAGATTCATCGTGTGGTAGTGGTTTCCAACTCCGGTAGTGTCCTGGTCATGTTCTTTTGATAGTAAACGTGGAGATAATAGTAAATGTTTAAAGTTAACAACTTGTTAAACCTAACGGTCAATGTTATCGTGCCAACTATCAAATTCAGGTCATTCTTCGACTTGAACACCTTTTCATAAATCATATACACACCTCATACATTTGACCTAGTCGTAGAAATTAGGTCAAAACTTGTAGAAACATGGATTCAACTAAAATCTAGAACTAATATACTTGAATCTTACAATTCAAGTGAATTGTTCAACTGCTGTAGGAAATGCTAATAACCGAATTAGAAAAAACTACAAACATTTCTTATATTTGAAAAATGGTATGAAACCCTAAAATAAACTAAAATCTTTTAATTTCACTTCAATATGTTGCTAAATATCTAACAAAATCACAAAACCTTAAAAGGCCCTAAAACCCAAATTTTATAAACTTTATTATCTGAAACTCCATAAAATTTATTATGAACTTATAGAAATCTATTCAAGTTAATTAAAACTAGGTTATAAATAAGGAAAATTAAAATTTTTGAAACCTTGGCATTGATGTGCACAAAAGTACCCACTAATTTTAATATTTATAACCTAACAAACTTAGACCAACTATGCACCTATAGGCAGTGTACCTAGTCAGATTATAGTATAG